TATAAACTGTGAAATATTCCATAGATAACATGTTGGCAGTTACTAATGTCTTCTCTAGATGTGGCTTTGAAATGGATGCAGATTCTTTCTGTTATAAAAAACATAGTTACAAATGTTTTATAATGGGAAGAAACATAAATATCTTCATGGGCATCGATTACTTTGAGTTTTTGATTGCCTAATACTTGAGCCACTGCTTCAGTGATATGCTATGGTTTATCAAACAATGTTGAGAAACAGAAACTACTGGGCATGTTTCAAGGAGAAAAGTACTTAATACAGAAATTAGGAGTTTACATAATCTTAAGATAAAGGTGCAGCTCTTAGCTGGGCCTTTAGAGAAATCAACTTGTAGGAAGAGCTATAACCACTGCCCCAACTGGGACAATGAGTAATGAGGATATCACAGTTAAGAACACACTGCTATAGTGATGATCCTGGGATTAGAAAGCTGCCACCACAGTTGCCTAGACATGGAACATGAAGTCTGGCCCCCACTGCAACAGTAGTGAAGCACAATTTTGGGACTGGCATCTCCATGACATTACTTGCCACCAGAGAACAACCAAAGTAGTAGGGAGATGGCTAGGCCTCATTTCTGCCTTATTTATTTATTTATTTTGAGACAGAATTTCACTCTTGTTGCCCAGGCTAGAATGCAATGGTGCAATCTCAGCTCACTGTAACCTCTGCCTCCCGAGTTCAAGCGATTCTCCTGCCTCAGCCTCCCACGTAACTGGGATTACAGGCATGTGCCACCACACTCAGCTAATTTGGTATTTTTAGTAGAGACAGGGTTTCTCCATGTTGGTCAGGCTAGTCTCGAACTCCTGACCTGAGGGGATCTGCCTGCCTCAGCCTCCTAAAGTGCTGGGATTATAGGCATGAGCCACCGCACCTGGTCTTATTTAGTTAGTTATTGTTGAGACAGTGTCTTGTCTGTCACCCAGGCTGGAGTGCAGTGGTGTGATCTTGACTCACTGCAACCTCCGCCTCCAAGCCTAAAGCAATTCTCCTGCCTCAGCCTCCCAAGAAGCTGGGATTACAGTCACTCACCACAGTGCCAGCTAATTTTTATATTTTTAGTAGAGGTGAGGTTTTGCCATGTTGGCCAGGCTGGTCTTGAACTCCTGACCTCTGGTGATCCTTCTGCCTCAGCCTCCCAAAGTGATGGGATTACAGGTATGAGCCACCATGCCTGGTCCATTTCTCCTTTTTTTTTTTTTTTTTTTGAGATGGAGTCGTTCTATGTTGCCCAAGCTGCAATCTCAGTTCACTGCAGCCTCCACCTCCCAGGTTCAAGCAGTTCTCCTGCTTTACTCTCTTGAGTAGCTGGGAATGCAGGCGTGTGCCACCACGCCTGGCTAATTTTTGTATTTTTACTAGAGATGGGGTTTCGCCATGTTGGCCAGGCTGGTCTCAAACTCCTGACCTCAGGTTATCCACCTGCCTTGGCCTCCCAAAGTGCTGGGATTACAGGTGTAAGCCAGTGCCCCCAACCCATTTCTGCCTTTTAAAGCTCATGTGAGCATGTAATTTGTAACCAGAATCCTCCTTGTAAAAGAATCTAAGACATGTAGCTTTTAGCTTTGTAACCTCTGTAATGCTGAGGGCACAGCTGGGTGTATGCTGAGTGCCTCTTGGACATGTTCCATCTCAGTGTCTTCACAGCTGGAAGGTGTCAACATTGTTTTAAGGTCGGTAATTGGTTTACTTCTCATTTTTCATAAACTAAAAGTAGAATAAAGGCTATCCCTCTAATGTTGCTAGCTCACCTGCCCCCCCACCCTTGCATTCTCACCTACCTTCTTGAGTGGAGGGGAAGAGGGCATGGGCGGGAATGCTCCATAACTCAGTCCGTCTGTCTTGCGTCATGTCGCAGCATCAGGATATGCTAATGGGAGGACACTGCCCTTGTGTGCTTCATTACCCGTGCACACTAAAGTCTTACACTTACACACAGGTCAGTATTCTGGCTCAGACCAACAGGGAGAAATTGCAGTTTTCATTGGTTGGACTTCCTTTACTCTTCACACTTTTAAAATACAAAATTAAGAGGAACTCTAGAAAAAAGTGTACCATTCTCTTAATAATTGTTGCAGGTAGTTTAAAAATTCTGACTTTTTTTCAAATTCTTATGTGCCTTCTTTTTTTATAAACCCATGGCTTCTCATTCAGACTGTCAGCTGTTTGTGAGTTTTGGTTTTTGGTTTTCTGTGTTTGTATTTATGTATATGAAATACAGATTGAGGCCGGGCACAGTGGCTCATGCCTGTAATCCAGCACTTTGGGAGGCCAAGGCGGCTGAATTATCTGAGGTCAGGAGTTTAAGACCAGCCTGACTAACATGGTAAAACCCTGGGTCTACTAAAAATACAAAAATTAGCCAGGCATGGTGGCACATGCCTGTAATCCCAGCTTCTCAGGAGGCAGAAGCAGGAGAATCACTTGAACCTGGGTGGTGGAGGTTGCAGTGAGTTGAGATCATGCCACTTTACTCCAGCACAGCGGACACGAGCAAAACTCTGCCTCAAAAAAAAAAAAAAAAAAAAAAAAAAGTAATATAGACTGAGTATCCCTTATCCAAAATGCTTGAAACAAGAAGTATTTTAGATTTGGGTTTCTTTTTTAGGATTTGTGAATATTTGCAATATACTTACCAATTAAGCTTTCCAAATCCAAAAATCTAAAAATCTGAACTGCTCCACCGAGTACCTCCTTTGAGTGTCTTGTTGGTGCTCAGAAAGTTTCTGATTTTGGAGCATTTGGATTTCAGATTTTCAGATTTGGGATGCTTGATCTGTAATTTCAGATTTACATAAAAGCAGAAATAGTACACAGAGCTCCTTATATCTTTCACCCATAATCTCCAATAGTTGGCCTTTCTCAACCATTTGGAAATAATTTGCAGATATGACTTTCCATTGTGTCTCAGTTGTTCAGTGTGTATTTTCTAAGTATAAGGATATATATTCATACATATTTACATCATAACCATCATGTTTAAACATTTTAAAAATAGGGATTTGTGGCCAGGAGTGGCGGCTCATGCCGGTAATCCCAGACTTTGGGAAGCTGAGGTGGGCAGATCACAAGGTCAGGAGATCAAGACCATCCTGGCCAACATGGTGAAACCCCATCTCTACTAAAATATACACACACACACGTGTCGCACGCCTGTAGTCCCAGCTACTCAGGAGGCTGAGACAGGGGAATCGCTTGAATCTGGGCAGAAGAGGATGCTGTGAGTGGAGGTTGTGCCACTGCACTACAGCCTGGGCGACAGAGCAAAACTCCGTCTTAAAAAAAAAAATGGGGATTTGTATTACATTGTTTTTCCTTTTGAAAAAAATTACAGAGGAACTTAATGCAATAGCTATTACTTAAAGTCTGATAATGTAGTAGTAGTTTTCATTTCTTTAATTTATCAAGTGTTCAGTGAATACTTACTATGTAACAGCACAGTTATCAGCCCTGGGGGAAATCTATGAATAAGACAAGATTTGTGCTCTCTCTGGGTGCAGTGGCTATCGCCTATAATCCTAGCACTTTGCAAGGCCAAAGCGGGTGGATCACCTGAGGTCAGGAGTTTGAGACCAGCCTGACCAACATGGAGAAACCCTGACTCTACTAAAAATACAAAATTAGCTGAGTGTGGTGGCACATACCTGTAATCCCAGCTACTCGGGAGGCTGAGGCAGGAGAATCACTTGAACCCAGGGGGCAGAGGTTGCAGTGAACCGAGATTGCGCCATTGCACTCTGGCCTGGGTAACAAGAGGAAGACTGTCTCAAAAAAAAAATTTGTGCTCTTCCGAGCTTACATGCCATAAAGAGGGAAATAAACAGAACACCAGATGATGATAAGTTTATGCTGAGAATTAAAATGAAGTGATGAGGTAGTGGGAATGTCAAGTGGCTACTTTTGGTGGGGTAGTTAGGAAAGGTGTCCCTGGGTAGCTTTTTCAACTCAGACCTGAATGAAAAGAATGAGCCAGTAACAGAAACATTATGTTAACTCATATGGTAGTTCAAGATGCTTTATCTGCTCAAATGTATTATTTTCGGTGACTTTCAACAATAATAAGGGTCTATAAACCAACAGTCATTCACATAAGAATAGCCACCAGTGAATCTTTTTGTATGATAGGTTGTTTCTTTTTTGAAACAGTCTTGCTCTGTCGCACAGGCTAGAGTGCAGTGGTGCAATCTTGGCTCACCACAACCTCTCCTCCCCGGTTCAAGTGATTGTCTTGCCTCAGTCTCCTGAGGAGCTGGGATTACAGGTGCTCACCATCATGCTCACCTAATTTTTGTATTTTTGGTAGAGATGATTTTTTACCACGTTGGCCAGGCTGGTGTCAAACTCCTGACCTCAAGCAATCCACCCGCCTCGGTCTCCTAAACTGTTGGGATTACAGGTGTGAGCCACCATGCCCAGCCATGATAACTTATTTTATGGTGAAAATACCTATCTCTTAATTTGTGTGATTAAATTTAAATTTTATGTCTAGGATTCCTAGGATCAGTACTTCTATATTTTAAAGTAATATATATCAGACTAACAGCTCTTGCATTCTTTTCATCGCAGTCACTACTTTGATTTGTGGAACAATGTATTTTCTACATGAATAGTTTTTCTCATGATGTTTATTCTTTAGTTGAGTTTTGTTTTTTGATTTTTCGTTTTGAGATGGAGTTTCACTCTGTCTCTCAGGCTGGATTGCAGTGGCGAGATCTTGGCTCATTGCGCCTCCAGGGTTCAGGCGATTCTCCTGCCTCAGCCTCCCAAGTAGCTGGGAGTACAGGCACCTTAACCACACCCGGCTAATTTTTGTGCTTTTAGTAGAGACGGGGTTTTACCATGTTGACCAGGCTGGTCTCAATCTCCTGATCTGCCCACCTCAGCCTCCCAAAGTGCTGGGATTACAGGCGTGAGCCCCTGTGCCCGGCCTGTTAAGTTTTGTTTTTTAAATATACATTCACTTTTGAATGTTTCAGACAGCAACAGCAGCAGCAGCAGCAACAGCAGCAGGAGCAGCAGCAGGAGCAGCAGCAGGGAGACCCATCAGGACAGAGTTCACATCCATGTGAAAGGCCAACCACCAGTTCAGGAGCTCTTGGGAATGATCTAGGTAAGTCCTGCTCACCATTCATCATGTTTGTTACCTTCACACTTTATCTGACCATAGGCTTCCTGTGATTTTTGCTTTATATTATTCTTTTTCCCCTCTTTAATCATATTAAGACTCTTAAATAAATTTGTAATCTACTAAATTTCCCTAGATTAAGGAGCAGTTACTATAAAAAAAAAAAAAAAAGCCATATGTGGTGGCTCCCACCTGTAATCCCAGCACTTTGGGAAACCAAGGCAGGAGGAATGCTAGAACATTATGAACACCTCAACATAATAATATCAACTTCACAGTGATTTGTACAGTCTCCAGAAATTCCTTAGAAATCATGAATACTAGTAGATGAAAAAGAAATACATTCTACCACCTGGAAAATGAAAAATACTTGAGTTTAATCTAAATATACTCAACTATATTTGCAATGGGATGTGCAGAGTTAGTTTCCAGGTCTTGGTTTAAATATGTCTTAAACTTTGGCCAGTTAGTAATAGAAGCTGAGTGAAAAGGTAACTGTATCCAACAAATAAATTGTAAGCAGAATATATAAAGAACTCTTAAAACTGAACAATAAGAAAACCACTCAATAAAAGGATGAAGGATTTGAAAAGATATTTCACCAAATAAGATACAGGGATTACAAATAAGCACATGAAAAGACTCTCAGCATCACTAGTCACTGGGAAATGCTCAATAAAAGCACAACGAGATACTGCAGCACCCCTGTAAGTGTGGCTCAATGAAGAAATAAAACTGACAATACCAAGTATTGGCAAGGATCCAAGCAGCTGGGACTCATACACTGTTAATGGGAATGTAAAAGTGTACTCTTTGGAAAACAGTTTGGCATTTTTTTTATAAACTTAAATGTATGCTTAACCATGTGATCCAGCAATCCCCATCATGCATATATAACCAAGAGAAAAGAAAACTTAGGTTCACATAAAAACTTACATCAAATGCTTATAGCTGGCCGGTGTGGTGGTGCACACCTGTAATCCCAGCACTTTGGGGAGGCCATTGCAGGTGGATCACCTGAGGTCAGGAGTTCGAGACCAGCCTGGCCAACATGGTAAAACCTCATCTCTACTAAAAATATAAAAATGTGGTGGGTGTGGTGGTAGGCACCTGTAATCCCAGCTACTCAGGAGGCTGAGGCAGGAGAATTACTTGAACCCAGGAGGTGGAGGTTCCAGTGAGCCAAGATTACGCCATTGCACTCTAGCTTGGGCAACAAGAATGAAACTCAGTCTTAAAAAAAAAAATGCTTATAGCAGCTTTATTCATAATTGCCAAAAATTACAAACTGCCTAAATGTAGACCTTCATTTGGTTAATAAATGCACAAACTGTGGTATATCCAAACAATTAAATACTACAGGGGATGAACTGGTACTTTTTCCTATTCCTCCTATTATGTACAGCCAAAACAACTGAACATTTGTATAAAACAAGCTGAATGTCAGAGGCAGAGAGAAGACAGATTGGCTGGGGACCTTGGAACCAGAGGAGCAGCATGGTGGGGAGTAGCCTGGGTTTTCTTTTTGCCTCATTTGTCCTGGACTTGGTGCTGGAGAAGCCGTGGGCTCAGACCAAGAGAAAACCCCCTGAAAAGTCTGCTCTCTAGCCAAAAGAGGCAGCCTAACAAGACAAACACTTTTAGATAATAAGCACTCTAATCAAATACCACAGAATAAACTGGCCCCTTCACTCCTGTCAGGAAAGGACAAGTGGGAGCCAAGATATGTACCCCAACCTGGAAGTCATGAGGTACACTTCTCCCCTTCCCCAGCCAAGGTGGTGTCAGAGAAGGCTGAGTGGGGAGCTGGTGTTTTCATTGTTTCTGGAAGGTGACAGCACTTCTTTCCCACGGTGTCAGTGGTCACAGGAAGCCTGAACTTCTACCCAATAATACATAGGCATATCTCTGGCTCCTATGTGGGTGATGTCAGAAAAGAGGCCTAGTAGAGAATCCAGACTGTTGCTGATACCCAGCAATAGCAAGCACACCTCCACAATATCCGTGGAGGCCACAGGGGGATCAGTAACAAGGCACTCTTCTCCCTCCCAGCCAGTTATAGATCAGCGGAGGACTAGGGGGCTACAATTCCCATGTGTGTGTAGCAGTAATCCCCATGACCACCACTCCTTGTCATAACAGGCTTTGAAGAAACCTAGACTTCCACCTCCCTCTGGCTGTGGCAGGGTGGCATTCCCTTTTCCCTACTGGCAGTGCTGTGTCAGACGAGGCTTGCCAAATTGGAAGATGAAAATGATATTCACAGTCTCATAACATAATGCCCCAAATTTTCAAGATTCAGTTGAAAATCACTAAGCCAGGGCGCAATAGCTCACACCTGTAATCCCAGCACTTTGGGAGGCCAAGGTGTGTGGATCACTTGAGGTCAGGAGTTCAAGACTAGCCTGGCCAACATGGTGATACTCCGTCTCTACTAAAAATAGAAAAATCAGCCAGGTGTGGTGCTAGGCGCCTGTAATCCCAGCTACTGGCAAGGCCGAGGCAGGAGAATCACTGGAACCCAGGAGGCGGAGGTTGCAGCGAGCTGAGATTGCACTGCTGTACTCAGGCCTGGGCAACAGAGCAAGACTCCATCTCAAAAAAAGAAAATCACTTATGAACCAGAAAAATCTCAACTTGAATGAGAAAAGACAGTCAGTAGACAACACCTAGATGGCACTGATGTTACTACCTGATAAGGGTTTTTTAAGTAGCCATCATAAAAATGCTTCAATGAGCAATTACAGTGAGCACACTTGAAACAAATGAAAAAATAGAATGCCTTAGCAAAGAAATAGAAGATACAAAGAAGACCCCCATGACATTTTAGAATTGGAAAATAGTAGTAATTGAAATTTTAGGAATTTTTAAGTCTTCTCAGTGGAATGGAGAGGACAGAGGAAAGAATCAGTGAGCTTGAAGACAGAAAAACAGAAATTACCTTTTCTGAGCAACAGAGAGAAAATAGACTAGAAAATTTAATAGAGCCTTAGAGACCTCTGGCGCTCTAACAAGATTTAAATTTGTGTCATGGGGTCCCAGATGGAGATCAGAAAGAGGGTGCGGCTGAAAAAGTACTAGAGGAAGAAGTCATGGCTGAAAGTTTCCCAAATTTGGCACAAATCAGAAACCTACAGATTGAAAAAGCTCAGTGAAGCTCAAATACGATAAACCCAAAGAAATTCACATAGACGCATCATAGTCAGATTTCTGAACACTGAAGATAAAGAATGAAGATCTTGAAATTACCAAGAAATGACCTTACCTACAGCAATTTAAATGACAGCCAGATTTCCCATCAGAGATCATAAAGGCCAGAAGGAAGAGGTACATACAACATTTTTTCTAGTGCTGAAAGGAAAAAACTCTAGGCCAGGTGCAGTGGCTCATGCCTGTAATCCCAGCACTTTGGGAGGCCAAAGTGTGCAGATTGCCTGAGGTCAGGAGTTCGAGAACAGCCTGGCCAACATAATGAAACCCCATCTCTACTAAAAATACAAAAATTAGCTGGTGTGGTGGTACATGCCTGTAATCCCAGCTACTTGGGAGGCTGAGGCAGGAGAATCACTTGAGCCTGGGAGTCGAATGTTCCACAGTGAGTTGAGATTGCGACACTGCACTCCACTAGGTGGCTGAGCAAGACTCCATCTCAAAAAAAAAAAAAGAAAGAAAGAAAGAAAGAAAAAATTAGCTAGACATGGTCGTGGGCGCCTGTAGTCCCAGCTACTTTGGAGGCTGAGGCAAGTGAATCGCTTGAACCCGGAAGGTGGAGGTTGCGGTGAGCCAAGATCATGCCACTGCACTGCAGCCTGGGTGACAGAGCGAGACTGTCAACAAAAAAAAGAAACCCAAAGAAAAAACTCTAAATTCAGATTTATATATCCAGTGAAATATCCTTCAGGAGTGAAGGGGATATTAACAATTTGTCTCCAGTAGACCTACCCTAAAAGAATGGCTAAAGGAATTTCTCTAAAAAAAAAATGATCAAAGAAGAAATTCTGGAACATCAGGAAGGAAGAAAGAACAATGAAAATAGTAAAATTGGGGTAAACACAATAGGTTTCCCCTCCTTTTGAATTTTCTAAGTTGTGTGGTGGTTGAAGCAAGAATTAATAGCACTGATTTGGTTTTCATTATATATATAGGAGATATTTAAGGCAATTATATTACAAATGAAGGGGAGGGTCAAGGAATATGAAGGGAGGTAAGCTTTCTATATTTCATTTGAACTGATGCAGCCACTTTGGAAAATAATTTGACTATTTGTTTAAAAACTGAACATAACCCTGACCATATGACATAGCATTTATCTATGCTATTAACTCCTGGGCATTTCTCCCAGAAAAACAATAAACTTTTTAATTTTTTTTTTTTTTAGTATTATACTCCCTAAGTGCTCTAATATTAGTACTTAGGGAGGGAGGCCAAGGCAGGCAGATTGCTTGAGCCTAGGAGTTCAAGACCAGCCTGGGAAAAATTTCTATTTTTGGCTGGGCACAGTGGTTCACGCCTGTAATACCAGCAGTTAGGGAGGCCAAGGTAGGTAGAATGCTTGAGCCCAGGAGTTCAAGACCAGCCTAGGCAATACTGCATACTCAAAAAAGAAAAAAAAAATTTAGAAAATTATTTTAAATGTTCTTAATTGCTGAATGCCTCCTTGGAAGAGCATTATTTAGTCCTACAACTGACACATTGTTCCACTGACACAATTGCCCAGGCTGGTCTCAAACTTCTGGGCTCGAGGGGAGTCTGCCTGCCTCGGCCTCCCTTAGTGCTAGTATTACAGATGTGAGCCACTGTGCCCAGCCAAAAATAGAAATTTATATTAACACAAAAACATATATATAAATATGTTTTAGCAGCCTTATTGGTCATAATCAAAAACTGGAAACAACCAACATGTCCTCCATGAAACAAACTGTGGTACATCCATAGCATGGAGTACTCTACTCTCAGGATGAAAGAGAAACCAGCTGTTGGCACATGCAGCACCATGGCTAGATCTCAGGGACATTATGCTAAGTGCAAAAAGCCTCAAAGGCTCTTATACTGTATGATTCCATTTGTTCAACATTCTAAAAATGACAGCAGTATATATAGAGAGAACACATATTAGTGGTTGCCACCAGTTAGAGAAAGTGGGTGAAAGAGGTAGGTGTGAATCTAAATCAATAGGAGGGAGATCTTTGTGGTATTATAACACTTCTGTGTCTTGCTTGTGGTGGTCGTGGTGGTTACATGAATACACATGTGTGATAAAATGCCATGTAGAACTATGTACAACAGGTGCCAATGTCAATATCTGGGTTTTAGTTTGATCTTTAGTTACATAAGATGTAACTATTGGGTGATATTGGGCAAAAGGGTACATGAAACCTCTCCCAAACATCTTTGCAAATTCCTTTAAATTGATAATTATTTCAAAATAGAAACTTGAGTTTCTGTAAATACATGAATTGTTGATATACACAACAAATCTCAAATGTATTATGCTAAGTGAAAGAAGCCATATGCAAAAGACTCCATATCTGCTGATGCCTTTTATATGGCAGGCAAGAAAAGATAAGACTGTTGGACATAGGGGGGTGCGGTGGCTCACGCCTATAATCCCAGCACTTAGTGGGGGCGAGGCGGGTGGATCACGAGGTCAAGAGATCGAGACCATCTTGGTCAACATGGTGAAACCCCGTCTCAACTAAAAATACAAAAATTAGCTGGGCATGGTGGCGTGCGCTTACAGTCCCAGCTATCGGGAGGCTGAGGCAGGAGAATTGCTTGAACCCAGGAGGTGGAAGTTGCGGTGAGCCGAGATCACGCCACTGCACTCCAGCCTGGGTAACGAGCCAGACTCTGTCTCAAAAAAAAAAAAAAAGACTGTTGGACAGAGAATATATACTGGTGGCTATCTGGGATTGGGAATTGGGGATTGACCACAAAGGGGCAGCATGAGGGAATTTTCTGGGGCAATGGAATGGTTGTGTATCTTGACGGTGCGTTTGTCAAAATTTATACAACTATAAAAGCGAATTTTGCTTTATATGAATTAAACAAAAAGAAGAAACGTGATCAAATAGAAATACATTTTCTAAGAGCTTACCCTTTGATGACTTTCTGGAAATGTTAAGGAAATGTGTGTTTTGTTTCCCGACAGGTGATGCCATGAGTGAAGAAGACATGCTTCAGGCAGCTGTGACCATGTCTTTAGAAACTGTCAAGAATGATTTGAAAGCAGAAGGAAAAAAATAATATCTTTAAAAAACAATTTAGATATTCATACTTTGCAACATTATCCTGTGTGATTACAGCATAGGGTCCATTTTGGTATGTGTCAAAAAGATGAGGAAATAAGACTTTTAGTGGTTTGCAAACAAAATGATGGGAAAGTGGAACAATGCGTCAGTTGTAGGACTAAATAATGCTCTTCCAAATACTAGCCAAAGAGGCATTCAGCAGTTAAAGACATGTAAAATAGTTTTCTAAATGTTTCTTTTTCTTTTTTGAGTGTGCAATAGCTAACATGTCTAAAATTAGGGCATTTCTTTTCTTGGATCTTTTTGTAGACCAGCTAATAGGCTCTTGCCTCAGGCTTTTTCCATATAGTGTGTTTTCTTATTCTCTCTTGTAGATAATTTGGCTCACATCACATAATGGTCACTTTCATTTCTCATTAACCAAATTAATCTTTCAGGAAAGTGTCTCTAGTCTGTGTTGATCAGAGTAATGGTTCCAGAAGGATGAAGTTCTCGCTTCAACTGTGTATTGTGTGCTTGAGTGTTTCTGGTGTTATTTTCTTTGATCACAACTTTCCTGTTACCTGGCTTTCATTATTTTCCCACAACTCCTGAAAGATGGTAATCTTTTCTGAGGTTTAGACATTTTGTTTGCTTTGTTTTTTAAATTTTTTATAGATACAGGGTTTCACTGTGTTGGTCAGGCTGGTCTTGAACTCCTGACCTGAGGTGATCCACCTGCCTCCACCTCCCAAAGTGCTGGGATTACAGGCATGAGCCACCACACCCAGCCAGGGTTGAGCGTTTTAAACCCTATGTTGGGATCATTCTTTATGACTGGTGCATTCCTTAACTCTGAAATCAGCCCTGCACAAGTACTTGAGAATAAATGAGCATTTTAAAAATGTGCTTTCCCAGATGCTCTATGAATGTCTTTTCACTTGTGTCAAAACCTTACATCTTTGTTGCAACCCCTTCTTCCTGCACCTCGTTACTTTTCTTCTCCAATTGAGAAAACTAGGAAAAGCATAGTATGCAGGCAGGTTTCCTTCTGTTAGAAGACTGAACATATGTACCCACCATGAATGTATGATACATGAAATTTGGCCTTCAATTTTAATCGCAGTTTTATTTTGTCTCCAATGACTGGAGCTTTCTGTTCTCTTTCCGATTGAGTCATGGAATATAGGTGTCTGCTTCACATCTTTTAGTAGGTATAGCTTGTCAAAGATGGTGATCTGGAACATGAAAGTAATTTACTAATGAAAATATGTTTAAATTTATACTGTGATTTGACACTTGCATCATGTTTAGCTAGCTTAAGAACTGTAGAAGTCACAGTACTTAGTGGGTCTGTAAATAAGAAAGTCCATAGTTTTGATAAATATTTTCTTTAATGGAGATGTACGGAGAGTTTCTTGCTGGGTCAATAGAATGGTATGATTTTGGTGAAAACCATGTCTCTCTGAAGTTGATGTTTTAGTTTTTGTGTTCCCCAACCCTCATTCTCTGTCCCCTTTGGAGGCTCTTTTGAATGTTGAATTGTTCGTAAGCTAATATCCAAGAAGAAATTTCAGCTGACAACTTAGAAAATTAAAGTATGGTGTATTACTCTACTGGTGTGTGGCTGCACACATTTTATCAGGGAAACCTTTTTGATTTAGAATTTATTGCTAACTGAAAAGAGAAGAAAAAATATCTTTTATTTATTATTATGAAATAACTTTTTCTTGGATAGAACAGATTTTTTAAGTCATTATTTTGTGCCAATCAAAGTTTTCTGAACTTTCCCTTAGACAAAAGGATAGTTTTATTTTAAAATCAAAAGTTTTTCTTTAATAGTTGAAAATGTTTCAGAAGAATTATAAAACTTTTAAAACTGCTAGGGATGTTGGAGTTTAGTACTACTCCCTCAAGATTTAAAAAGCTAAATATTTTTAAGACTGAACATTTATGTAATTATTACCAGTGTGTTAGTCCTGTTTTCCATGGATATTTGTTCATTACTTTTTCCATCGAAAAGTTACATTAAACTTCATACACTTGAATTGACGAGCTACCTAATACAAAAATGAGAAAACCAATATGCATTTTAAAGTTAGAGTTTGTAAAGTTCATATATTAAATACCCTAAAGCACTTAAGAAAATACGGGGTGTTTGACTTTTAGTTGCTAGAGAGTTTTGTTTTGTTTTGTTTTTTGTTTGTTTGGTTTATTTTTGAGACAGACTCTCGCTCTGTCACCCAGGCTGGAGTGCAGTGGTGCAATCTCGGCTCACTGCAACCTCCACCTCCCGGGTTCAAGCGATTCTCCTGCCTCAGCCTCCAGAATAGCTGGGATTACAGGCGCCCACCACCACGCCCAGCTGATTATTGTATTTTTAGTAGAGACAGGGTTTTACCATGTTGGCTAGGCTGGTCTTGAACTCCTGATCTCAGGTGATCTGCCTGCCTTGGCCTCCCAAAGTGCTGGGATTATAGGCGTGAGCCACTGTGCCCCGCCAACTAGAGAGTTTTTAAAGCAGAGCTGAGCACACACTGGATAAGTTTGAATGTGTTTGTATAGTTTGTTGTGAAATTGTTACATTTAGCAGGCAGATCCAGAATCACTAGTGAACTGCCATCTTGGTGGGATTGGCTTACATTTAATTGAATGTTTAGATTCCATTTCTTAATTCATCAGCCAGTATGAAAAGATGCCAGTGCCAATAACCGTAGTATGAAAAAAGCTAAAAGTTACACAAAGCTATAGTTTATACATCAGATACTGCCATTTACTGCAAACCACCTGCAAGAAAGTCAGGAACAACTAAATTCACAAGAACTGTCCTGCTAAGAACTGTATTAAAGATTTCCATTCTGTTTTACTAATTGGGAACATCTTAATGTTTAATATTTAAACTATTGGTATCATTTTTCTAATGTATAATTTGTATTACTGGGATCAAGTATTTACAGTGGTGATGCTAGTAGAAGTTTAAATAAGCCTTGGAAATACCACTTTCATATTTTCAGATGTCATGGATTTAATGAGTAATTTATGTTTTTAAGATTCAGAATAGTTAACCTCTGATCTAAAATCATCAATGTATGTTTTTTACAGTAATCAACATACAAATATTTCAGTAATATAAACTGTTTGCAAAGGTTGCTGCAGGTAAACTATACTTAAACTCTAAGATCTTGGCCAAATAATTTACAATTCACAGAATATTTTATTTAAGGCGGTGCTTTTTTTTGTCCTTAAAACTTGATTCTTCTTAAGGCTTTATTCATTATGCCAAAGTTAATGAGGGAAAAAAAATCTCAAAACTGGTTGAGTATCATTATAGACAAAACTACCAGTAGTCCATATTGTTTAATATTAAGTTGAATAAAATAAATTTTATTCCAGTCAGAGCCTAAGTCACGTTTTGAATGTCTGAAATTGACACTATTTTTAAAATCATGCTAGTGCCGGCTGGGTGTGGTGGCTCACACCTGTAATCCCAGCACTTTGGGAGGTTGAGGCAGGTGGATCATGAGGTCAGGAGTTTAAGACCAGCCTGGCCAAGATGATGAAACCCTATCTCTACTAAAAATTACAAAAATTAGCTGGGCGAGGTGGCTGGCATCTGTAATCCCAGCTGCTTGGGAGGCTAAGGCAGGAGAATTGCTTGAACCTGGGCAGCAGAGATTCCAGTAAGCCAAGATCCCACCACTGCACTCCAGCCTGGGCGACCAAGTGAGACTCCATCTCAAAAAAAAATAAATAAATAAAAAAGCTAGTGCCAAGAGCTACTAAATTATTAAAACTGGCCCACTGGACTGTACAAATAAAAATTCGATTCAGCCGGGCGAGGTGGCTCACACCTGTAATCCCAGCACTTGGGAGGCTGGGGCAGGCAGATCCTTTGAGGCCAAGAGTTTGAGACAAGTCTGGGCAACATGGTGAAACCTCATCTCTACTAAAAATAAGAAAACTAGGCATGGTGACACACACTTGTAGTCCCAGCTACTCAGGAGGCTGAGAATTGCTTGAACCCAGGGGGTGGAGGTTGCAGAGAGCCAAAATCGCACCATTGCACTCCAGCCTGGCGACAAGAGCAAGACTCCGTCTTAAAAAACAACACACACACAAACTTTACCTGGAATCGAAGAGGCCTCTGGCCACTATTTTCTTTTCTTTTCTTTTCTTTTTTTTTTTTTTGAGACAGAGTCTAGCTCTGTCGCCCAGGCTGGAGTGCAATGGCACAATCTCGGCTCACTGCAACCTCCACCTCTTGGGATCAAGCAATTCTCTTGCCTCAGCTTCCTGAGTAGCTGGGATTACAGATGCTGCCATTACACCCAGCTAATTTTTGTATTTTTAGTAGAGACAGAAATTTCACCATGTTAGTCAGGCTGGTCTCAAACTCCTGACCTCAGGTGATCCACCCGCCTTAGCCTCCCAAAGTGATTATAGTTGTAAGCCACTGCACCCAATCTCGGGCCACTATTTTCAAAGTGAATTGTTTGCTGTATCAAGGCCTTAACAAGTATGGACATACATATGTGACCCTAATTAGGAAATACCAGATTGGATTAACTAATCATGTCGGCCGTGTAAATAACTTTATTTTTCATATTACAAGTAAAAACTTCTTTTAATCTTGGTCCCTTTATAACCAGCATCTTTTTGCTTTAAAAAATGAGCGCCTTTGTATTTTTTTTTAAGTCTTAAACATAATAAAAATATTTTTGTTCGAGTCTGCTTTCATGAATGAAGATTACTGACATGGTTGGTAAATTCTAGAATTTTGATTTTGTTTTTTAATTTGAAGAAAACTTTTGCTATTTTAATTTTTTCCAAAATGGTCTTGCATTGTAAGAATTAATGCTAATAACCTAACTTCTAAATTTGTGGTAATTGGCATGTTTAATAGCATATCAAAAAACATTTTAAGCCTGTGGATTCATAGACAAAGCAATGGGAAACATTAGTGAAAAATATGTAGATATTGCTGATGCATTTAGGAAGCCCTCGGTTGTCTCTTGCATAGTTTAAGGAATGTTTTCTGAACTTTTTTAATGCTTTTTTTTTTGAAAGAGGAAAACATACCTTTTAAATGTTATTTATCTAATTTCTACAACACTGGGATATTAGGAATAACTTTTAAAAAATTACTGTTCTGTATAAGTAAAATATTTGAAATTCAAGTACAGAAAATATCTGAAACAAAAAGCATTGTTGTTTGGCCATGATAAAAGTGCACTGTGGCAGTGCCGCTTGCTCAGGACCCAGCCCTGCAGCCCTTCTGTGTGCTCCCTTGTAAGTTCATTTGCCGTTATTACACGCACAGGCCTTCCTGTCTGGTCCTTAGAAAAGCCGGGCTTCCAAAGCACTGTTGAACGCTGAGAATTCTGTTGTTAATGTGGATGTTCAATGAGTTGTATTTTAAATATCAAAGATTATTAAATAAAGATAATGTTTGCTTTTCTATTTCCTTTTGAATTTGTGTTTATTTTTAATTCATAGCTTGGCTCTTCAAAGTATGATTAGGGCTGGGCTCAATGGCTTGCACCTGAAATTCCAGCTACCCAGGAGGCAGAAGCAAGAGGATTGCTTGAGCCCAGGAGTTCAAGGCTGCAGTGAGTTATGATCTTGCCACTAAATTCTAGCCTGGGTGACAAAGCAGGAAAAAAGTATGGATGGAGGACCAGCAGCACCTGTATCACCTGTGAGTTTTTCAGAAATGCAGTTTCAGGCCACACTCAGACCTACTGAATCAGAACTTGCACACTTTTTTTTTTTTTTTTAAGAGACGGGGTTTCACCATTGTTGGTCAGACTGGTCTTGAAATCCTGACCTCAGGTAATCCACCCAACTCAGCCTCCCAAAGTGCTGGGATTACAGGCGTGAGCCACCATACCTGGCCTCAGAACTTGACTTTTTACAAGATCCCCAGGAGAATAAAGTATAGAGTGAAGCTTAAGAAGCACCATTTTATGAATTGTTTTTAACCAGCTGTGGTGATGAATATGAATATTGCAGGCCAGCACAGTCCATAAATAATCTATTTCAGCTGCCAAAAGGTCCATTATTACTGGATCCCCAGTCTTTAGCAAGAGAGGCTAGGAATTCCAAAATTTCATTTGCAATCTGATTTTTAAATGTTTGCTCAATTGGCCAGGCGGCGGTGGCTCACACCTTTAATCTCAGCACTTTGAGAGGCCAAGGTGGAAGGATCCCTTGAGCCCAGGAGTCCAGCCTGAGCAACATTGGGAAACATCCCATCTCTATTAAAAAAATACAGAATTCTGCCTTTAAAAAATGATATGTTTGCTCAATTGATTTTTAACTCTTAGGGTCAAAGAAAACATTAGTAGCAATTTTTAAGAGTGCTGCTTTTCTTCATTTTATCCAACTCTGGACAGCAGAATCCAAATTTAATACTGGAATCCACCTAGACTGATTGAGGAATATATTGTCCTCAAATTTTATGAGGGTTGTCTATTCATTTTAGCTTTAATTAGGATTGGGCGCAAGTTTTGAGACATGATAATGTTACGGGACAGGGGTCTGGTTCCACCCCAAGAGAGGGTTCTTGGATCTTGTGCGAGAAACAATTCAAGGCAAGTCCATAAATTGAAAGCCAGTTTATGAAGAAAGTAGAGAAAAGAATGGCTACTCCATAGGCAGAGCAGCCCCAAGGGCTGCTGGTTGCCCATTTTTATAGTTCTTTCTTTCTTTTCTTTTTGAGACAGTCTCGCTCTATCTTCAAGCTGGAGTGCAGTGGCATGATCTCGGCTCACGGCAACCTCTGCCTCTCAGATTCAAGTGATTCTCCTGGTTCGGCCTCCTGAGTAGCTGGGACTATAAGCACACACCACTATGCCCAGCAAATTTTTGTATTTTTAGTGGAGACAGGGTTTCACCATGTTGGCCAGAATGGTCTCAATCTCTTGATCTCATGATTTGCCTGCCTTGGCCTCCCAAAGTGTTGGGATTACAGGCATGAGTCACCAAGCCCAGCAGGTTATTTCTTGATGATATGCTAAACAAGGGGTGGATTATTCATGCCTCCCCCTTTTAGACCATTTAGGGTAACTTCCTGACATTGCCATGGCATTTGTAAACTGTCATGGTGCCAATGGCAACGTAGCACTGAGAAGGACTAGAGGTCACTCCCATCGCCATCTTGGCTTTGGTGGGTTTTAGCCGGCCTCTACTGCAATTTGTTTTATCAGGATGGTCTTTATGACCTGTATCTTGTGCAGACCGTCTATCTCATCCTGTGACTTAGAATGCCTTAACCATCTAGGAACACAGCCTAGTAGTTCTCAGCCTCATTTTACCAGCCCTATTCAAGATGGATTTGCTCTGGTTCAAACACCTCTGACATTTCCCCACCTCCCTTTTATAAGAAAACCCTTAATCCTAAGGGTTGCAGAAAGATGAAGATGCATCTTCTGTAACTTCATCAGGCTGAATAAGGGTGGCAATATTCCTGCCTAACTATGAGAGTCTCTTGTATTAGGGTAGAGAGGAGCTCAATCAGTCAGTGTGGCTCCCTATCCTTCCTCCCTTCCCCATCCCCTGACAACTACCGTTGTACTTTGTCTCTTTGATTCTAAGTATCTCATGTAAGTGGAATTATGCGGTTATTTGTAGTTTTGTGTGTGTGTGTGACTAGTGCATTTCAATTAGCATGTCAAGGTTCATCCATGTTGTAGTATATGTCCAAATTTTCTTTTTAAAAGCTGAACAATATTCCATTGTATGATATATACACATTTTGCTTATTCATTTATCCATCAAAGAAAACCAATAGCTTTTTTACATACTGTCAGGCCTCCATGTGCAAGCCTGGACCCAGAAAGTCTCAAGTCCTGCCTGCCTCAGCTGATCTCCCCATCCTCTTGCATTCACCATTGTCCCTGATCGCCCAGCGGAGCTTCCCAGGAACATTAAGCTTCTCATCCCACCCTGCCATCTTAACTACTTTTACACCTTACCTAACCCACCATTGTAATTGAACTTATGGTAATGATACTCCTTGCCCCTACCCCCAACACTGTAACTGATCTTACTCTGTTACACCCCTGCCCCGTCCCCAAAAGATTTGCCCCAACCTATAAAACTAACTCCTATTCCACCACCCTTCCCTGACATCCTTTTCGGCCTCAGCCCACCTGCACCCAGGTGAATAAACAGCCATGTTGCTCACACAAAGCCTATTTGGAAGTTCTCTTCATTCAAAATGCACGTTTTAACACATACCAGCATTAACCTGGTTAAAAAGTAAGATGGAAAAATACCAAGCCCGAAAATGTCAAATTCCTGAACACCAGAGAGGTACTATAATCCAAGCTGAGCACAGAGGAATGGCCCTTCTTTGTCTCAGCCCTGAGCCACATGTCACCACATGGCCCCAAGCAGCTCTTCTTGTGCCCAGAGTCCTGCTAAGTCTCTTAGAAAATGGTTCAGCCAGGTTCTTCATCCCTCTAAAGTGGCTCAAAACTAGTGCAGGAGGCCAGGAGGGGGCAGATCCTATGCCACCTCCATTGCTTTTCTGCCTTCTTCAGATCCATTTTTTTCCAAAAGCTGTGTCTGAATTCTGCACAGGGGTACCTCTATCTCCAACACTGAAACCCCGCCCCCCCTTTGAGACAGGGCCTCGTTCTGTTGCCCAGACTGGAGTGCAGTGGTATCAACTTGGCTCACGGCAATCTCTGCCTCCTGGGCTCAAGCAGTTCTGCCTCAGCCACTGAATAGCTGGGATTACAGGTGCGGGCCACCACACCCAGCTAATTTTTGTATTTTTAGTAGAGATGAGGTTTTGCCATGTTACCCAGGCTGGTTTAGAACTTCAGGTGATCTGCCCACCTTGGCCTCCCAAAGTGCTGGGATTACAGGCATGAGCCACACCATGTCTGACTAAATTTAACTGCTTTGAACCACCATCTCACACATCTTCCAGGAGCTTCTTAGTTAAATACAGAGGATATCTACTGTAAAATTCCATTTATATAGGATCCTTGGAATAGTCAAATTCACAAAGACAGAAAGTAGAATGGTGGTTGCCAGGGGGATAGTAGAGGGGAAAATTGGGAGTCATTTAACGAATATCAAAAAAATAAACAAAAATAACAAAAAAAATAATGAATATGGAGTTTCAGTCTGGGAAGATGAAAAACTTTCTGAAGATGGACAGTTGTGGTGGTTGTACGACAACGTGAATGTACTTAATGCCGCTGAATTGTATAACCATTTAACAATGGAAAATGGTTAAAAAGGTTGATTTTGTGTTATGTATATCTTTTTTTTTTCATATTGCATTTTAGGTTTGGGAGTACATGTGAAGAACGTGCAAGATAGTTGCATAGGTACACACGTGGCAGTGTGATTTGCTGCCTTCCTCCCCTTCACCTATATCTGGCATTTCTCCCCATGCTATCTCTCCCCAACTCCCCACCCCCCGCTGTCCCTCCCCTATTCCCCCCAACAGACCCCAGTGTGTGATGCTCCCCTCCCTGTGTCCATGTGTTCTCATTGTTCAACACCTGCCTATGAGTGAGAACATGTGGTATAAAATACAAAGGATTGATCACTGTATTTGCTCTCTTCCAAAATCCCACCTAGGTGGAAGTAAAGAAAAAATATATATATGTAAGAATAGAGGAACCAGAAGAGGAGATGCATTCATTGTATTTGGTTCAGTTGTAATAATAAAAACAAATATAACAGTGACTTGATGTGCTATGGGTTTTTTTCTCCTCCAATCTTCAAAAAATGTGGAGACTGCTAGTCCAGGGATGATATAGCATCACAGTGTCAGGAATCTGCTCTTTCTCTTTAATTGTTACAGGAAAGGGGTCCTGATCCAGACCCCAAGAAAGGGTTCTTGAATCTCACGCAAGAAATAATTCAGGGTGAATCCGAAGTGCAAACTGAAAGCAAGTTTATTAAGAGGGTAAAGGAATTATAAGAAAGTAAAAGAATAAAAGAATAGCTACTCCGTAGACAGAGCAGGCCCAAGGGCTGCTGGTTGCCCATTTTTATGGTTATTTCTTGATGAGATGCTAAGCAAGGAGTGGATTATGTATGTCTCCCCTTTTTAGACCATTTAGGGTAACTTCCTGATGCTGCGATGGTATTTGCAAACTGTCATGGTGCTGGTGGGAGTATAGCACTGAGGCGGACCAGAGGTCACTCTCATGGCCATTTTGGTTTTGGTGGATTTTGGCCAGCTCCTTTACTGCAACCTGATCTATGGGCAAGGTCTTTATGACCTGTCTTTTGTGCTGCCTGGAGGCAGTCTGCTGACAGAGACACAGGTGCTGGCTGGTGTGCACAAACATGGTAAAGGGATGAGGGGTGCAATGGGGGTACTGGCATCTTGGCTGTCATGCATCCAGGTAAAAAAATGGGGGCTCAATTACTATATATGAAGGGGAGAACAGACTTTGGGGAACAATTAGCAGTCATTTCCAGGTGAG